ATCGACTTCCTGGCAATTCGTAGCCGAGGAAGGGATGGATCGCAATAGCAGCCCATGTAAGATATGCCTTGGAATGCCTCATATTCCTGTAGGCCCCTGTAAGACTTCTTACCCAAAACCTCCAGACGCTAGCGATCGAAAGCACAACTGTGGAGACACTGCCGCGCAGCCTTGAAGATATGGTTGAGAGTAGACCGTGTTAATCTACTAATTCGGCTCGCGCAAATTTGAGGCGCGATGCGTTCATGTAGGGCTGCTGCGCAACAGCATCTTGTCCATTATGTTCCAGTCTTTAGTGACATGGCAGCTTGTCAAACGGAAGGCGCAATCAGGAGTGCTAACTGCGTTGCGGGAAGCATGATCTGCAGGTGACACTCGTTTGTAAGCCAGTTCTGCTTGCAAGCCCGACACGCATTCCGAGATCAAGACTCCAAGATCGCCAACCGCAGTGTCTACAGCTTCGCTAAAACAAGTTGCAAGCCTCCCCTGGCCTTCTATCTGGATGGAAAGCCCAAACAGCGCTGCAAATCCCAAGCCCCGCTAGCTCCATCCTTACAAGAACATAAACGAGCTTTTCTGAATTTATCTCCAGAAAGCACCGGAACCCCTCTTTTATCAATCCCCGCACGCCAACTCGCAAATCCAAAGCCAAAACCCTCCCGGCACCTGAGGACATGATAGAGGGTAGTTGGAGGGTCTAGGTAACTCGTGATTTGGAACCCCCCTGTGGCCTCATTCAACCTCGAAGATCAGTCTCTGAGCGTTCTTTTCCAGGTATCGGCCTTTGACCACCTGCTTGTTTCTCTCGGAGGGTCGTCTTTTTGCTGTGCGAAAGAATACTGTTGATGCCAACGAAAGACACTGTATGACCTTTATATCGTATAATGTGACATAACGTTGAGGTCATGCAGGATTTTAAATGTAACCGTACGTCACCAAGCGTCTTCAAATCTGATTGGCGCAGGAAGAACCTGGTTTCCAAGTAAGCCTTCCCAAGCAGTGCGGTTTTCAGGGTGCTTTGAGAGGCCCAGAAAAACAAGTCTCTGGATTCTATTGAGCCTTTGCCCCTCACCATCAACTGTTGCAATTTGTCGAACGCTTGCCAAGTGATGCCAAGGGGTTCACAACTGCGACTTTGAATCAAAAGTTTTTGGTCTTCTGGGCTCTAGGCGGTCACCACTGTCAGAATTTTTCATTCTAGACCCTATACTGGCTGCTAGAGTTGAGCTGCTCTTACAATTCGTACCAGGTACAGAAAGAAGACTGTGGAGGAACATCTCAGTCCTACGTTAGCATCCCTTGAAATACAACTAAACTGTCATGCCACGCACTAAATCTTGCAATCACATGGCACCCGGGTAAACCCATCCGCGATCCAAAGTCCGTCCTGTTCAGATCCCAAATGTTTCACACCATTCAACACCCTAAACTCTAGCGTAGCTTGGGCAGAGAGCAGAATCCCACGCCCACAAAGTTCACCCTGTAACTGGAAAACCGAAAGTCATGTGGCCCCAAATGATTAATCCTTCCCCTAAACCCTAACCCCCGCCCCATCCCCTAATACTGAATGGACGCACTCAAGATAGTACAATTACTTAGGGGGTGGGGGTGTTGTTATAGGGTAAGATGATTACGGAAATAATTCTTCCTCACTAGGCCCAAAGAACACCACAATCCACATGTCCTTCAAAACCCGGCGCAAACGATGCGGTTATGTACAAGCATCGTGGTCCAGTTTGACCAATTTTGTTGGGTTGCTTCGGGATGAAGAGAGTTTGGCACCCTTCACCCAAATCTTTCTTCACAAGCCCTTGACTTAACGTTGGCAAAAGCTGGGTTTGCAAACCCCGAGCAGGAGGGAGGCGACAATCAACCCGCTAATGCCTTGGCGAAAGCAGGGTATAAGGGTGGTGAGTTTTAGGGTGTTCAGAGGTCAAGGATTTGTCTTAATGTTCGTTGTTTGCCAAAGGATGGAGTATAAGAAGCCTAGGTGCCACTAAAGTCCATCCTGTGCATCCCTCGGTTCCTGGAAGGCAGAGCAATCCAGCATCACATTCTCTCGTGAGTGTTGCTGTTCCGGAATAGAAAGTGAAAGGCTGTCCTTCCAAGCATAACTTCATTTAACTTCCTTAACAGAAACACCGGTTGAGGGGTTCTATCGAAAGAATCGTTACAATGGTTCGTCGCAACAAGTCCGATTCTGGTGATGGCGTCTTCCAACCGTTTCGAGGTGTATATGAGCCATTCTCTAAACTCCTAGTATCCCCCTTAATAACCCCTATAGTAGTCCCCTATATAATCCCCTATATATCCCCCCTTTAAGGAGTTTAGACTCCAGTACACATCCCCCTTAACTACATAGAATATGGGGTATATGGGGATCCTAATATAATATACCCAAAGCCATATTCTATCTAATTAAGGGGGACTATATGTACATAACGCACTGAAAGCTTGTTGATTGGCACGCGGCAAGCATCAAGACATGTTCATGTGAGGTCGAAGTGCGCGGCTTTGAGGGCTGCTAGTAATGGGTTTAGGGTTTAGGGGTTTAGGGTTTAGGGGTTTAGGGTTTACGGTTTTGAAAAGGGTCTTGGGGTGCAGTATATATCTCCGTAATCGTATATGATCCTGGGCGGAATCCCAAGTATGCAGCGTCCACAATGACGTCAGCAGAGTAGCTTGAGTAAGGGAGCTTATATTCAAACCCACAGTATTGGATAGGAGGACCTCCCGTCCTGCAATAGTGGTATACTAGGCATATAAGAGGACCCCAATATAATCACCATTTTCCCCTGTATTGGTGCAAATGAGTTTCTACTGTTCAGGGACCCTCGCCCGCCGTCCCCGTACCTTGCACGATGACCCCAATCCCGCCCTAGCCCCTACAACCCTAGCTGTCTCAACCCCCAACCCTACACCCTAAGCCCAAAACACTGAAAAAAAGATGGAATTCCTTGCTGCACCTTCAACCATTGTGGGATAACATGCCCTCGAAACTATAGTCCACTGAATTGGGCTCCACAGTCAAGCCCCGATGATAAAACCCTCTATTCAAGCCTAGTTTCCATTTCATGTTTTCTTGATTCTCAATTTTTCTCCTCAGGCATTTAAGCCCCAGATAACTTAGTAGCCTCCACTTATTTCAAGTACATGCACTTTCAGCTCTGCATCACAAAGCCTCGAAACCATCTCGCGCCCCCTTTTTGCCCTCAGCTGCTATGCTGCTGCTTTCGCAGCTGGGGGGCGATGAAGACGCACTGAGCCTCATCCAGCTCTGAGGCCTCACTGTATAGGTATTATATGGGTTACATAGGGGATAATGGAACAGAAAATGGAAACTACACTTAGGGGATAACGGAAAAGTGGAAACTACTATGATGGACAAGAAAATGGAAACTACTACTTATATGGGGCATGATGGACAAGAAAATGCTACTTATATAGGGGATCATGGAAAAGAACATGGAAACTAGTACTTAGGGTTTAGGATGTAGGGTCTAGGGTTTAAGGTGTTAAGACATCTGGGGTGTGGTCAAGGACACCACCAGGTGGGCAGTTACCAGGTGGGTATCCCCCAAATTAAGCTCATGTAAAGGAATCAGGAAATGGGGCTACTGTATACTGGCTCTATATAGGCCTCCTTTAAGGATACCTACCTGATAACCACCCATCTGGAGGTTTCCTTGATGTGGGGGGGGTTGTACTTGATCACTCAGGGGACGTAGTAAGTAGGCAAATATCCCTAAACCCTGAACACCCTAACAGTAAATCGGTTATAAGTCCTCAAATTGGGCCTGACATGCTTGTAAGTGCCTCCATTTACCTTTCTATTCAGTGCCCTAAGCCTTTAAGTAGCTATAGGAACACTAATAAATCTGGGGTTCAAGGGCTTAGGGGTTTTTGGGTTAAGGGGCTTTGCTGTGGTTGTGACCTATGCGGTTTTAGGGATCACTTGTTTGATGCCACAAGTCCTGCATTGCCCGGAATGCCTTTTACCTTGGAACTTATGGTCACGCAGGATAAACCTATACTAAACGACACAAAGTTTAGGAGTGTGGAGGTCAGAGGGTTTAGGGGTTAGGGGGTGAGGGTTTTAGGGCTACATCTCAATCAAAACCATGCGCCCCCAGGATGACTTCCAAATCTCAGGGTTCCCATGTATGCAAGGTATACCCTAGATGTACCCTGAAGGGCCCTAGAATCCACCTAAGAAGGGTAGGCCCACATTAGGCGCCCATGCTTTAACTTTTGGATTATAATAATGGCCGTAGTAAGAGGAGTCATAGAGTTTAGGGGATTAGGCGCTTAGGGATGTAGAGCCCTGGGGCTTTTTTTGGGGGGGAAGTGGGGGTTTACGGTTTGATCGGGTTTGTCGGATGTAGGTGGGTGTAGCTGCAGCAGTTTGGGCTCGTGTTCAGACGCGCAGAAGACGTGCCGGGAGAATTCGGATCTCAGGCTAACAATCAGGGTCAGGTTAGGAACTCACCCAGACCCCCTAAATATCCAAAAATGGAACCTCTCAATATGAATCCATTGCTACATTGGGGAAACTAGGGACTCTGGCTCCTACAGTATGTTGACCCTGCGACCTTTTTACTTCTTCCAGGAGCAGGCACGCAGATGCGGAGGCAGGCGCAACAAGGAACGTCATGTAATGGCGGCTCAAAAAGCGTGGTCAACGCAGAGTTTTGCATATTCGGGAAGGTTTAGGGTTTAGGACTTTAGGATACAGAGCTGCAGGTTTATCACGATTCCAACCCATGTAACGAAGATAATGCTCAGGAAGGGTTGTTCCTACAGTGCATTAAGCAAAGCTGGGAGAATACCATGTTACCACCTATAAGGACCCTTGTTGCGCCTCTCTGCTCACTCCTTCATGGAGGTTTCTCAAAACAGGCGTACCTTGCGCAAATTTGGGGATGTATAGGGATTACGAAGAGATAGGGTTCTATTGGAGCATTTTTGAGAAATTCCCTCATCTCCATCTCAGGACGCCTTCAACTCCCAGAGTAGACGCCTGCCTCATCGATTGAGAACAAGTTGGCGTCGGAATCGAGTGTGGCCTGGACTCCAGGGGTATGCTTGAAGAGAAACCCCCGTACGAAATCATGGTGCTTTTGAAAAAGGTCCCTAAAAAGGACCCATACTTTTCAGAAACGCCCACCTGGACGCCGAGCGGCACTGTTATCATAGGGTCGCTGTGGCCCACATCCACTCCATACAAGATCGGAAAATCGAAGCCCCGGGTGTTTTCTCGTAGGACCTGGTGGAGGATCTTCACTTGCTCCGTGGAGTACAGGAATGCCCGGCCAAAGACCAGTCCCCGGACCTTCTCGAAGGTTCCGTTGAGTCGTAGTACTCCAAGTACACGGTCAGCCTCATCTAAGGAGAAGCCTCGATCGAACTGATCCCCCTCTGGGGTTTCCAGCAGCAAGATCGTTCCGCTGAAGTCAGGGTAGTACTCCCCAGGTAAATTGAGCAATACCTCAGGAGTCCGGTATCTAGGGCTTCTTTTTGAGGTTAGCCTTTCAAATCATTTTGGGATTTATACGGTTTTATCACCAGTAAAGGTTAAACATCATTTGAGAGGCAAGATACTGGGATGCATCCCCCGAGTATAGGTCCTGTTGCCTTGCCTGGCCGGAGCCATTCGAAGCCGTGGTTTGGCTTGAACTGGCGACTCTGCGTTCTGTCCATTTGGGTCAACCAGTTCACGCTCTTATCCTCATCCCCACAAAATCTGAAGAATACAGCTTTGGATTTCAGTTGGTTAGAGAACCTCGATTCGTTACTCAAAAGCGAACACAAGGTCTCAACAGCTTCCAAGCATCGTCAGTCCAGTGCTCAGATGGCAAAACACAGCCGATGGGACAGTCTTGCGCAACAGCCCGGAAGAAGTACTGCTCCGTGTACTCATATAGCGACGGAAACTCGCCAAACTGGCAGATCGCACTGGGCCCGTAGAAGGTACACAGGTTAGCCTTCTTGTAAAGACTCAGGTGGAGTGACGTTATATCGGAATAGCCCACAAAGATCTTCGGATGACGCCTTATGACCTCGAAGTCCAAATACTCTATCAGCTGGTGGCAGGTGTTGCCACCAATGGTGCAAATTATTGCCCTGATATCCGGGTCTCTGAAAGCATCCATGACGTCCTTTGCACGAAGCTCCGCCGTGTTAGAGCTTATGGGATGTGCATTTTGCCTGGATGTTGGGTACAAGTAGACCTTGTACCCCTTATCAGTGAAGTATTTCTGAGCTTGCTCTAACCGGTGCTTCACCAAGGCCGCGAATCCAGATGCAGGCGCAATGAAGGCAATTCCAGAGCCTACATTTAGCCTCAGGCTTTTGACCATGCTCGATGAAGTTGCCATAGCAGCTAATAAGGGTGCATAGGTGGAACTATGAGCAAATAAAAGGCGACTTGTTGTTCGCATGGCAACGATCTCCCCAGATCAGTGTTGCACCTTCCCTGCCAGTTGCACGGGAAGGCAGCATATACAATTGTGACGAAGCCAGCAACTACAGTTTCTGCTGGAAAATGCTCAGTGATGGACTCACACTACCATACGTTTGAATGAAGCCCACTCCCATCAACATGCCTGCTGTGCTTCTTGTGACTGCCACCATCTCCATGTCCCAGAGGATCATCCGACAAACAAAGCTGTTCACCGCTTGCGTCTCAAGACTTGAGAACTGTCTGTCATTTACACGGAGCCCCTTAAGGCTAACTTACCCAGAACACCATGTTCTCTTTCTTGCCCTCAACCTCCAAAACGATTTCAACTTTGGTATCATTCCCTAAACCCTACACCATAACAAACCCAACCCGTCTGAATCCAATCCCACAGACTATGCAATGCCTCTACTTAGGGCTTGGGGTTTAGGTTACGATTTAGGTTTAGGGTTTAGGCGTTTAAAAGCCACAATTCGTCGAATTTGCGTATGTGTCGCTACTGATGCTCGACTTGCCATACAGAGTCAAAATGATGATTTCCTACCTTGGGATGTCATGTGAAATATGGACAGCCTCATCTGGGAGTTGCTTGACATCACCCCTATAGACGCCAAAATAACTTAACGCACATAGTCCGATATGCCCCACTGCGGTGAGAAACCTAAGCCCATGAATAAACCTCAACCCTAAACTCAAACCCTAAACCTGAAACTAAGCTCTCGGGGCCCTCTGCGCACCGAAAACACTAAACCCTAAATCCTAACCCCCCCATAAAACATCTGCGGGTCCCTACTGAGAAACTCCCATGGTCTGCCTCCTGCGAAGGTGGTCCAAACATCCTCCGCTTCGCTGCTTCGAAATCGATCCTGGGTGAAGGGTTTTAAGGTTTAGGATTATGTAGGGGTGTAGGGTTTAGGTCTTAGAACTTGAGTTTCAGGTTTAGAGTTTATAAGCTTTATAGAAGCTATCTCGGATGCGTGTCCGGCGTTTTGGCTGCCTGTTGAGCGCAGTTTTGATTTTCCTTTTTGACACTATGCAATCTCCTTTTTCGCTCTGGGCGAATTTTGGGTGGAATTTGGCGAAGCTTTTCCTCTTGACCTTATACAACTTCCATTTGTTCTGGCCTTGTTTAAGTTTTGAGGTCTAAGTTTGAGGTTTAGCATCTTAGGGTTTAGGCCTCAAGGCGCTTGGCGCAAGATTGCTTGTTTTTTGAGTATTGGAAGACCTCAACCTATCTTGCCGTCGAGAACCAGAAGATCAACTTCTTCTATCTCTTCAAATTGAACCACCAGCTGCAGAGCCGCCCCTGAACTATAAAGCCCATAAAATGAGCAAATCTAGATACATCGCAAAACAACAAAGGTTTGTACATCAGAAGCCAGAGGCATTTTCGGGGACCCTGAGAGCTTTGGGAATTCCTATTTGGGGCTCGGGCTACAGAAGGGTGACTGCTCTTTCGGAAATGCTCCTATCCTTCTTTCAAAAGAAAGGGATCCCCGTCTGAGACCCCGGAGTCCCAGTAGAACGATCCTGAATTTGTTGAAAACCTTCCTAACGCAGCTGATGGAAGAAGTCCTTCACCACCTCAAGTCCCCGAGATCCTGATAAGGACAGTAGTTGAGGGACCCGAGGTGGTGAAAGATCTCCTTCATGGACGGTACTCTATCTAAACCAATTTCCATTTCATGTTCCATTTTCTTTTCCTTTTCATTGTCCATCTAGGGGAGAATATGTCCCGAACGCCCAAAGCCTGTCTATTTTCAGGGGTATTTGGGACAATGCTCTGTACCCTACCCTAAACCCTTAACCCTAAGCCTGAAGCCCTAAACCCTAAACCCTAAACCCCACGTCAGCAGAGCCGCTCTGAGTCGTCTTCGGCCAAGCGCAGGCTCAGGGGGCTTCCCAGCAGCTCGATGCCTTCGGCCTCCTTTTTCGGATTTAGGGTTTAGGGTTAAAGGTTTAGGGTTATGCGTGGATTTAGGGTTAAGGATCTAGAGGTTAAGGCTAAGGCTTATAGGCTTTACAGTAGAGTTACGGATCTAGGGTCCCAAAACTCTATAGTTCCTAAACCCCAGAACCCCTAAACCCTATCATCCCTAAATACTAAACCCCATCATCCCCAAACCCTGTAATCCCTAAACCCTATAATCCCTAACCCTTTTAAACCCTAAACCCTATCATCCCTAAACCCTATAATCCCCAAACCCTTGACCCTATCACCCCTGAACCCAGGCCTTCAGTGCTTCCTTGGCGTCTTCCGAAGACCTAAACTCGCAAAGGCCGCTTTGTGCCACATCGAGCGCATCCTTCGCGGAAGGGCGGGGAAGGCTTCTGCACGGGGGTGGTGGCCTTCAGGATTCAGGATTTAGGGTTTGGGGCTTAAAGCATTCAAAGTTTAAGATTGAGGAGCAGGATTCAGGGGTGGTGCAGGACTCATGCTGATGGCCGAGGGCCAGTGCATGAGGTCAAGGGTTGTGCTGGCACTTCAGCGCAGGGGTCCAGCACGAGTTCAACACTTATTCGGACTCTCAATCTTTCTCCCTTTCCTACAGTTTGGAGCAACAATGCACTTCGACAGGCAACATCTTTGAAGTTCTGCCTTTCAACCATTAAACGCTCCATCACTTCATCAAAAGTTTGTCCGTCCTTGGAGGGTTCTCTAATTATGGGCTGGTGACACTTCGAATGGACCTGCCTGCCATGCCGGATCTTTAAAATCAGCAGTATGAACCCTAGCCTAAGCCGGTAGCCAGAACAACAAGCCCACAACCCGCATAACGCTTGGGGTATACTCAGCTTGATGCTGATTCAACCCTGTGCCAAAAGCTCACTTTGGACCATTGCAGGCGTATAAAACGATGACTGATCAGCTGAATGTGTTAAAAACATCGCCCATGCTGGCTCCTTTACCTCATGGTGCCTTCCTAAATCGGAGAAGCAATCCGAATCAACAAAAACTTATTTCAACATAACATGTCCTTCCGACTTTGAGATGAGAAGATGTGGATCCCGCCCCATGACCTTCATCAAATACTTTGAGCCCTTCGTGTGCAGTAGACTTTCTAACGATGGTTTGTAGTTTGTAGCGTGCAAGGATCTGATGAGAAAGTTTGCACACTGGTCCCCGTCAAGCTGCGTGCCGTGCCACCGAGCGCGCTTACCCAGAATGTCCCTGCAGTGTCCAACCTAGTGTGTCCCGACGGCGCCAAACCCAGACTTTCTTCGCAGCGCTTCATAGCACACTAGCCCTGCGACGCCCCAAAATGCAGGATGTCCTCACAATGCCTAAAACAACATGTCTCGAAGCTCGTCCCAATGCTGAAATGTGAAAGGTGTTCGCTAGCAGTTAGGGATGCTCTAAGTTGAGTGATATTTCTGGGCCATCTCGAGCGAAAGCGGAGTGCCATAGAAGACAAACATGACAGAAACCCTTCATCAGGCTTCAAAACTCGGCAGCATCAACCTCCAAAGACCCTAAAGCCCCGAGCACTGAAGCAAAGACCTCATAGAGGACTCCCACAGTTCATGCTGATTTATCCAACCTGAAGCTCAATCTCAAGCCACGGCGGTCCTTGTCCCGCAGTATCCGGATAGCCACCAGGCCATGCATGATGCTGAAAATGGTCTTGGTTCGTAGGTGTTGTGGATTTTGAATTGAGGATTATCACCAAATTCTGCTGCAACAGCACCATCTTACAAACTCCGAGGCCCTGCAGCCTAGATTTGAAAAATGTCTTGAGACACGGAACCAAACCATTGACTTGCCCACAAAGTCACGATGAGATCCCTGATCTTGAGATGCTCTAGTTTTGGTTCGGGGAGCACGGGGTTGGCGCTTAAGGGTCTCTTCAGTACTGCCAGTTCGTATGCAGCGGTTTCCGAAACTGGGAACCCGACTTTCACACCGAAAAAAAGCAGAGCCTGCCTACTCCTCTGTGTAAACTCTACCGACGCTGACGGGTTGCTATCCAATTATGCAGTGTATATAAGAGTTGCGAAGGAGTTATGTAGAATATTATACCAGAACTACATAAAGAATATCGAGGCATATTCTCGACACTTCTTCTAGCTCCTACAGTACGCGCGAGAGTTTGCAAGCTCTGGACCTTGTGAGGCTTCTATCTGGTCAAGTTGCGAATGCTCCAGAGTAGGAGGTTAAGGAAATCAAGACAATGGTCTGAGGTTTTAGCCTGTAGCAAGGGATAGCATGCTCTTCACCCTTCTGCAAGGGCAAGGGTGAGGTTATGGCCTTACAAAGCTTGGAAGTTTCGGAATAACGTTAAGCCGAAATGCAACCAAAGAGGAGCTTCGTGAACCAACTTAAAGCATGATGCGAATGTTTTTGATCCAAATGCTTCCGCGCTTTCATGTTGAAGTTCATGTCATCTCTGAGGCTAACCTCACGGTGTCTCAAGCAACCAGTTGTATCGAGCCTTCAAGGATTGCACCCCTACAGCTGTACTGCTGTTTTGAGAGATTCTTTCAACTCAAGAGACCCTAGGGGACTTCTTTGTGGCGGCATTCTAGAGCCATATGTTGGTGCCATGTTGTTGTACGACAAGTACGACCTCAGGAGTACAACTGTGCAACTCAAGAAACCTACTTATGCACACAATTGTGATATAGTATATCCCCCAACCCTATTCTCACTATTGAAGCCCCGACTACATAGTCCAAACTCCAAGTAGGTTTGGACTAAGTATACAAACTACCCTAAACCCTAAACTATGTAAGCCCCTAAACCCTAAACACTACTACGGTACTTATGCAATCCAAGGGGCATGGAGGTCGAAGGCCGTTGTCTGTGGTGCGAGGTTTGTGACCAAGAGCACTCCTGAGGACAACCCACCAGGCGTGCGGTCCCAGGGGTTTATGTAGAATAACCGGTTTATGTAACGGTTTATGTAAGGGTTATAT